ACCCAACAGACACACCCCATAGAAGTGTCACCCAGTGATGTCAGCAGAAGAGAAAGCCCCCAACTGTCACTTCACAGTTAGAATTGCCATATCGAAGGCCTTGGTCACATAGAACCACAGGCCCTAACAGAGCTACCTGGCAGTAGCCCCTCTCTGACATGGCTAAGATGACCCCACCTCACCTAAAAACAAGCAGGCGCTCTGCTGCCCAGCCTGGTCAGAACGTGCCCACAAGGGCTTGCTCCACACCTCCAAAATCTCCACAGAACGTGTTTGCCTTTCTCTGCTGATTCCTGCTTTCCCTCCTTTCAGACAAGGGACGTGCTGATGACTGTGGCTTCCTTTTTACCTCAGCTCCCAGGACATCCAGACCCTGTGTGCAGGTGTCAAAGGCTAAATTAACATTTACAAAAAGGGGTTTGCCTCCCAGCTCCTTTCTCAACCCTGTTTTTTATGAATGAATTAACTGAACCTCACAGCCCACTATGTAAGATGATGCAGAAGGTTGTGCTCCTAGAAAAGCAGGAGAAAAATGGGCCTCCCAGGTAAGCACCAAGTCAGTTCACCATCAGCAGAAGTCTCCTCCCTCATCATGTGTTAACTGCACCAGGTCGTCCCACAGGCACCCTGTTCCTGAAGACAAGTGAGTCTCAGAAAATGTAATGTCACCTTAATGGTGACAGATGTCCTTACAGTCCGCTGTCAGCTGTTGTGCAGCCAGCTCCACCCATCATACCCTCTCTCTGTCCAGAACTAGAGAATTACAGCTGAGAGTTTCAGAACCATTTCCCCAGCCGGTGCTACCCCAGGAATTTTGGCAGACTAGGCAGCTCATCGGTTAAAACACGCTGGAATGAAGCTATTCTAGACCCTAACCCCTGAGGAGGTGACATCTGCAGAGCAGAGGCAGGTGGTACAGGGACCAGGTGAACACCAAGTGGAGGAGAGACCCCCGTGCAGGACAGAGTAAAACAGCAGCCTGGCTGAGGGCAGGTCACAGAGGGGCCTGTGGGGGCACTGACACCTCGGGGAGAATAGCAGGGCCAGCCTCAGAGCTGACCACCCACCGCTGCCTCAGGCGGAGCATCCAAAGGAAACAGTCCACCTGCTCCCAAATCTGTGAGGCTGAGGAGTCCCGGAGTCTAAGGACAACAGGGTGAGCCAGACAGACCCTGTGGGGACACTGTATGTGCTGGCTCAGGCGCTGCTGGGCCTGGGCGTGGTGTGACAAGAGCCATAGGGACAAGGCCTGAAGTCAGAACCCAGGTGCGGCTCCTCTGTGGGCAGTGCAACCTTGGGAGGGTGTGCAGCGGCTCAGAGCCACTCGTCCCTCTGGAGAGATTATGAGAATTAGCAAGGCACAAGGCCTAGAAACACCAAGCCCGGCCTGAAATACGGGCTATTTTCCTCCCAAGTTCTCCTAACAATGTGAGATTTCTTTTTCCTACAGAACTTACTCTTGATTTTAAAATGTGGCCCATCACAAAATTGGAAGCGATACCAACAAATGTGTCTTGTCTCTGAAAGAACGGCAAGTGTCAGGCACACAAAGGAAGCCAAGGCTGGGTTGGCGACAGCCTCTCAGTGTCTGTGTGACCTGCGAAGTGTCTTCATTTTCCTGAGCCCCAATGGGTGAATTCACAGAGCAGAAACTCAACAAATAGTAACAAAGGGAAAATTAAAAACGGCTCTCAGGTGACCTGGCCAGGCCCATCAAGGGCTCAATGATTCCCAAGGTGGCATTCAGGATTTTATCTAAAGGTACCTCCACACCCATCCATAAGTGCTAGAAGGTTCTCAATCCATGAAGGACCAGGAGGGGGAAAGAAAAGGATCCCATGCCTTCTGCCCTGAGAGGTGACACCATGCAGTGGAAACTCCACCTTCTCTGCTCCATTCAGCCAGGCTGCCTAGCACCAGGAGGCGGGAGAAGGCACAGGCTGGGCTGAGCTGCCACTGCACTGGGGACAGCTCTGCCCTGTTTTAGGGAGAAAGCTCCACTCGGCATAAACGCATGAGGAAGCTGGGTCTCTTGGTGACAAAAGCCCTCTCCAGGGCCACAGGACACCCCAGAGGAGGGCAGCTGAAGAAGGCAGGCACAGCCAGGGCCCCGCCACACCACACACTCACACCTGGGCTCCTACACCGGTCTGAACTCACAGTTGAGCTGCATCACCCTTTGGGGAAGGTTGTTAAAGCAGATTGCTCAGCTCCAGCCCCACAGCCCCTAATCAGCAGCTCTGAGCTGGACCCGAGACCATGCGTTCCTAACAGGTACCCAGGAACATTGAGGTGCTGGTCCCGGGACCTGCCTACACGCACTGCTGGTCAAAACAAGTTGCAAAAAGTAACAGAGAAGCTTAGTACAGAGTAGACTTGTGCAAGGTCATCTCCAGGAAATATGCATATACAAACATTCATATACACATAAAAATCACATCCACAAGGCACACACACCCATACATTCAAATACATAAAACAATAACATAATCCACACATACATACATTCACACACGTAGAAAAATTACCTAGCACACATATATATTCAAATTTAGTAATTATACATGTAATACATACATATATACATCCATATGCATATAACATTTATATATAATACACATTCACAAACATAAAAACTATATAATAACACAAACTTCCATATATATAACAATTTTACACATAAGTATTTATGGACGTTATCAATACATACATAAAATACGTATTTTAATTCACATACATAATACACAGACACTGCGTGCAGGAGCCAGGCTGGGCTCTCAGGGACCACACTTGTGAAGGGGAAACAGTGAAGCAGGGACCTGCAGCAGGGGTGGGAGGTGCCCGACACCCAGAGAAGCTCCTCTCTCGCACCCTGGGCTCCAGGGCACAGTGACAACATCCCCGCAGCTGGGCCAGGCCCTTGGGGTTCTGCCTGCCAAGGCTGCTGACAGCCCAGTAGAGCATCCCTTTAGACACGGCACACTGGCAGGGCACTGACTGACATCCCGGGCACACTGACAAAAATCTGATGTCAAGGAGTAGCTGGGAAGAGGGGTGAGCTGCAGACAGGTCCTGGGGAGGGGCACACAGATCAGAGGCCACCTGGGCCTCCAACAGGCCCAAGGCCAGATGGCCCTGACAGCCTCAGCTCTTGATACTGCAATAGATTTTTTAGGTTTGGAGGGTTTTTTTGTTTGTTTGTTTGTTCTTACCTTCCTATGACCTCAAATGCATATTTTGCCCTCACAGAATTACAAGGAGGACAGTAACAGTACCTGGACTGCACATGAGGCATCTGTGACACTCCTGACCCCGTCCATCCCTGTTTTTAATTTCATCCTCAGCTAAGTTAGACAGCACTCCATCCCCACCTGCGGGGAGACCAGAGCAAGGGTCGCAGGGCTCACACAGTGCCCAGCCAGTCAGTGTTGGAGTCAGGCTCTGACCTTGGCTTCCTCCTAACAGGGGAGCTGCCACACTGATCAGCCCGCGGCCAAGGCTCTCAGAGGGTGTTCTACCACACCCCAAGACAGAATCAGCCCTAAATCTGGTAGCCGCTGGGCTTTCAGCCCACAGAGACATGGAAGGCAGAAAGACTGGCAAAATCCCCAACAGAACTCTGGATTCTCTGCAAGGAGAACAGGTGTATTCCCCACACCACCCAAACTAAAGGGGGCTTCATGCTGTTGGTCCTCTCCTGAGCTGTTACTGAGTCATGAGAAATAGGGCTTAAGGCTTAACCACCCCCCTCCAAAGGGCATACAGCAAAGACAACAGCAGGAGGTATCATGACATCTGAAGACACTTCATTTGAAAAGCAGACCGCAATTTAAATTTACCTAATAGTAAGCCAAAGAGAAAGAGCTGTCATGTGTTTACTTCCAATCTGATAAAAACATGACATCGGTCAGAGCTGAATGTCTGCAAACCACCACCCCATGCTGTCCACAGCCACCCTGTGACACAGGCACTATCCCTTTCCATATTTTCACCAATAAGACAACGGATTTGTGGTGTCACATTATAGTTGGAAAAACTCAGAATCAAGGAGATGAACCCTGAAGGTAACTATTACTGATCTAAAAGACAGTTCCTACAAAGGAGGGCCAAGTCCTCCTCCTAAGAAAACGAAGCCACTTTACTCCAATCAGATGGCCATTATTAAAACATCAATAAACAACACATGTTGGCGCAGATGCAGTGAAATGAAACACTTACACACTCTTGGCGGGAACGTAAATGAGCCCAGTCTCTGGAAATCAGATGGAGATTCCTCAGAGAACTAAAGGAAGACCTACCATTCAATCCCCCAATCCCACTACTCAAAGGAAAAGAAATAATGATATCAAAAAGACACCTTTACTCATCTGTTCACTACAGCACAATTCACAGTCGCACAGATACAGAGTCACCCTAAGTGTCCATGAACCGAGGACTAGATAAAGAAAACACTGTGTGTGTGTGTGTGTGTGTGTGTATCCATAAAGTTCACGTGCATTTACTGTGTTAAACTGTGTGCCCTGGATGGGACTGGAGGGCATTATCCCAAGTAAAGTAATTCAGGAATAAAATATCCAATCACGCATGTTCTCACGTATGCAGGAGCTAAGCTGTGGGTATGCATGGTCACACACAGTGGTATAATGGACAGTGGAGTCTCAGGAGGGGAAGGATGGGAAAGAAGTGAGGGATAAAAAAATGCACACTACTCAGGTGATGGCTACACCTAATGCCCAGACTTCATCATTTTACAATATTATCTATATAACAAAACTCCACCTATACCCCTAAATCTATTGAAATCCAAAAAGAAAACTTTCTTATAACATAAAAAAAGGAAAGCCAGGCAAAAGATGAGTTCATGGGGGTCAAATGTTTCCCTGTAAGAAGCTCTGTGGAAGCTCCAGGTCAAAGGGAGGGTGTGGATCCTAGTGGGAGACACGGCAGAGAGACTTAGTCCCCCAGGATGGCACGATGGCCCCAAACAAATGCAGACTTACCTGTTCCAGCTGGACTTGCACACAGCAGGGAATCACCACCTTAAAGGGAGAAGAAACAGATAAGCAGATGGACTCTCCAGAAAAACCTGGCATAATTATCAAGTCAGGCTCCCAAAGGCTGAAACTGCCTGTAACCTCATTCAGAGTCACACAGCCCAGAGTTAATACTGAGTCCAGGTTTTTGTTAACTTTTGGAAAGTCCCAGTCCTTTCTGAGAATTTCATGAAAACTCTAGAACCTCCCCCTTCAAGAAAAATGCACGTTACTCACAGATACAGAATTTTGCCTCCACTTTCAAAGAACTGGTGGACCCCCAAGATGGAAACTTCTGAGCCAGCCAGGCCCCTCCTCATTGGGCAGTCTGGGAGCCAGGCCCAAAGGAGGAGGTGGGGGGGGCTCAGGCTGGTGCACTCCCACCACCACCACCACCAACCCAGGGGCTTGTGTTCTCTGCAAAATGTGCAGCCTTTTCTAAAACCATTTCTGTAAGTGGAACTGAAACCAGAGACTTCATGTGACTATATCAGAGTGCCTAGCCCAAGCAGCCAGAGCAGGGGGAGGTCCAGAAAGTTTCCTTTGACTTGGCCACAGCCCTCGGAAGAAGGGAGCGCTCACTAAGACACAATTCGCCACATCCAAAAACTGCAGGTAATAACAGTACCTTCCTCGCAGGATAGTTCTATCTGGCACAGAGGAGGGAGTCCGCTCCCAGAACAGGGAGCTTCCCTGAGTAGAAGGGCTGAGGGGAGCAGAGGTTTCGTGCTGTCCCAAGGGGCCCACCAGGATCCTGGCACCTGCAAACTGGATCCAATTCCCAGAGCTGCCTCACTCCTTAGCTTCCTCCTGGGTCCCCCCACTCTAGACCCCTAACCCTTCCACTCTCAAAGAGTTTTCTGAAAATGTGCAACAGAAGGAGAAATCCCAGGGATCTGACTAATTGTCCTTGTGGTTGGGAGTGGGCAGAGGCATGACCTTGATTCTTGCCAAGTGACTATTTATAGCCCTCCTGCTTATCTTTAGCAGTAAGTTACTCAAAGAATATGTGACACATGGTCATTCGTTTGTCTGGGTCGTATCATTACTCCATCAGGAATCTGACTCACGTTTGCATCCTGGGCAGGAGTGCTGCCACATGGCCCGGGCCCCCTCCAATCGCTGCCCTGTCCTCACACATACAGCAGCCAGCCCGCAGAAGCACAACGTTTTCTTTTTTGTGACCTTAGCTCCACATGTACACATTAAAGTTTTATGAATGAATGAGGGAACAAGCAGGCAAATAAATGTAAAGCAAAAAACCAAACCAGTGTCTTTGGAACAGCAGCAGTTATGGACAGAACCTTATGGGATGGTGGTGGCGGCAGGTCAAGGAGACCCCAGTCAGTAAGCCCTGTGATCAATTCATCCCAAGCACAGTATTCACTCGGCAGATATCCATCATGGTGTGTCACCACACGTGTGACACGCACAGGAAAGAAGCCTGAACTGGTGGGCACGGGGGGTCTGAGGCAGTGCAAGTGCCCTTCCTGGTGCTATAGTGGTGGATACTGGTCATCATGTATCCGTCCAAATGCACAGGATGTACAACACCCAGACTGCACCCTACTGCAAGCTCCAGGCTTTGGTTATTAATACGGAATCAATATTATTAAAAAAATAAAATACTGAATCAATATTGGCTCATCAAGTATAACTAACGTACCAGAGGAAGGCGAGATGTTTATATAAGAGGGGCAGGCAGTGTGTCCAATTTTTCTATAAATCTGAAATCATCCTAAAAAATAAAGCCTATTAGTTTTTTTTTTTTTAATTCATTTTCTAGTAACACATGCTTATTGAGAGAATGAAAAGAAATGCCCTATGTGGTATCAGAAACTTGAGTTTAAAAACAGTGGCCACTTAAGGATCAGGGCCAGAGCCAGGTGTGTTCCAGGCGGCCCATGTCCCCCTGCAGCCAGATGGGTTGCAATAACACGGCCCAGCTGTCCTGGCCTGAGGGCATCCTCCCTGAAGGTGAGGGGAGCCGGCTGCCCAAGTCCCGCCTCCCCGAGGTCCATTCATGATTGATGTCACTGCACATGTCCTGGCCTGAGGGCATCCTCCCTGAAGGTGAGGGGAGCCGGCTGCCCAAGTCCCGCCTCCCCGAGGTCCATTCATGATCGATGTCACTGCATAGGTCTGATCCATCACCTGCTGAGCACCTTTCTACTGAGCATGTCCCCCAGCAGGCAGGACTCACTGTTCTTCAGTCCATACCCCGAGGTGTAGATGACAAGTATCCAGCACTATAGCACCGGGAAGGGCACTTGCACTGCCTCAAACCCCCCTGTGCCCACCTGTTCTCACACAGCACAGACCGCAGACGTGGAACTGCTGTGAGAAAGTGAGCTGCGGGCACAGGCAAGGCAAGGGGCTCCCTGGTTCCACAGAGCAAACAGCAGAGCCCCCAGGCCGCATCCTATCACTCAAACTCTCCACTGTGCTGTTGTAACAGGACAGACATAAGCCTGCATGGCAGAGAACTCGAAAATGAAACACACAGGGGGTGCCCAAGCCAGCCAGCGTAGAGCCACCTGCTGACACAGAGAACCCATCTCTCCCAGGAGCTGCAAACACCTAAGTTAGTCCAAACGATGATCAAGCGAACACCTCCCTGGACAGAACCATGGGACAGCCTGTCCGGTCCAGGAGACCCACATGTCCTTATTCCACACCAGGAGACCCACGTGTCCTTATTCCACACCTGCCTGTCTAGCACCGAGGAGCATACAAGGGTGGAGTTGCCTGTGCTGGGCCTCGGGTGTCTCCTCCTGCTCTTCACGCAGTTTTGGGGGGTAGGGCTAAGAAGCACACAGTGCCAGGGCTCACTGTGGCCGCTGCACCTGCCCCTCCAACCTACAGACTCACATGCACCCCACGTGGAGAGCCAGGGGACCTAGCTAGCCTCGCCTGCTTCTCTCCACCCCCAACTCCAGCTCTGATCAGAGCACCCAGCACTGATCGGCTCTTTTGCTCTTCTCACTGGATAAAGAGAAACGCCGTGAGCCAGGATCATCACCTCGCGACCAGCCTGGCCTTCACAGCATGAAGGAGCTGATGGCTCTTTAACATTTAGCTCTTAAGATGTGAGTCCCAACTTACTGAGGGAGCTGATAACAGTGTGGACAGGGCTGGGGAGGGGTCCAGTGCTTCTGTGTCCCCAGACTATCCTGAAGACACCCCCGTTTGGGAGTCCCCAGGCTGTGTTGCCCTGTCAGTACATGGTCAGTATAACCGGGAAGCAAGAGGTGGTGTAGCTGGGTGTCTGAGCAGGTGACCCCAGGCCAAGCTCTTGGTCTGCTCCGGAAAGTGGTGCTGACTGAGCCTTGGGGAAGCAGGAGGATAAGAAGGGACAGTGCTCCCAGAGTCAAGGCGCCCATGGGGAGACCAATGTGCAGGCTCCAATCACTCAGATGCATACGTGACCAGACTGAGCAGCCCATCTGCAGGTCCCTCTCCGGAGCCCTCAGCATGAGCCAGAAAGCCAATCAGCGCCTTGCTCCGTGTGTGAGATGCTAAGTCTCAGGGCTGGTGGCGGGCTGCAGGCTCTCACAAAGAGGCGACACCAGCCGGGCCACAGTCCATGCTCCTGTCCTAACAGGGGCTCACCTCGTCGCATCACAACATGCCCCTCTCAGGAGCTCAGGACCCAGGGTGACAAGAGGTGACAACAGTGGATAGGCTGGGAGCAGAGCAGCTCCCACTAGTGGCTACAGAAAACTAGAGAGAGGGCAGTGGTCCGAGGATGGGCTGTGGCACCCCTGGGACTTGTCTCTCCTGTGACAGTGGTGAGGGCCCCTCTGAGAGGCCTACTCAAGAGCGGTTTTATGGCCTTCCCTCAGCTCTATCAGGGCCTAATCTATTGTCACCAAGGGCGACCACAAACAAACAAGGCTGGGCCTGCCCCACACCTGGCCGCATGGGCGCCTGGCTATCTAGATATCAATAACCTTGTTTCCAGGCCAAAAGGTCAGCAGGACGAGCAGAGTGAGGTGAGGGTGTTCTCCCAAATCAGGACCGTGCCCTTGGACGTGAGCACGTGGTGAGTCTATGTATGTCCGTGCGTCTGACAAATGTGCACAAGCGTGGATATAAGAAAAATTTTGTTTTGTGTGACAGTGTGTGTGACTCCACAGTTGAGCGTGCTGTGAGAGTCAGTGGGTGGGCAAGTGGCTGGGTGTGTGTGTGAACACCTTGTGAGAATGCACGGGTGTGTCTGAAATCTCTGAACTTGTGTGTTCTTGTGTGTGTATCTGCATTTGTGTCTCTCTTGTGTATCGCAGAGAGTATGTATCTCTGTGTATGAGAATCTGTCTACACATTGTGTGTGTCTCTGTGTGAGTTATGCACAGCCTGCAGCTGCATTCCCCAGGGGAAAGTGTCACTGTCCCCAGCGGTGCTCACGCCGGTACCCAGGGCCTCTGGTGTGGATCTTTCTCGGTGCAAACCGAGACTGACTTTGCCCACACCTGACCCTCCACCTGCTTCCAGGAGGTCAAAGTCCTGGCAGCTCCTACTGCTTCACAGCCGCCACCTGCTTTCTGATCACTAGAGTGGAACTATGAATTCGTCGCTTGTTGTTGTCTCTTATTAAATTTTACTCTGAGCAAAGCCACACAGAAAGTGACATTTTCCCCCAGTTTCTCTGAAATGCCTGGGTCTGAACGATGCAGTGCAGATCACTGTGTCAACAGGACAAAGGTAAATTTTGAGCTCAACCTTTCCTTTAGCATCACAAGTTCTGACTATGTTGGGTCCCATGAATGAGGCTCCTAGAAGCTCACAGAAGTCTGGAGTGAGAGCTGAGAAGTGCCCCCTCCACCTGTTCACAGGGGCAGCTATGCGGGGAGGGCCTGGACATCGGCTCCTCCTGCTGCTGTTGTGTCTGCTCACTCCGGTGACTCTGCCCCTAAGTGAACTCTCCCCACAGTGGGGCCAAGTAGTCACAGGCCAGTCTTGCTACTTAACGAGTGGATCAGCCTGACAGTGATCAAAATGCATCC